AACAGCTAAGATACTGTGCAGAACCCTCAAACTCTCAGGCCTCTGGTAGAGGACCCAAAATTGAGGAAGACACATACCACCCACAGGGGTAAAGGGGAATGAATGAATGAATGAATGAATGAATGAATGAATGAATGAACGCACGCACGCACGCACACACATGAATTCAGTCCAAATGCTTTATAACTGCTGATGCAAAAAATGGAAAAATTTAAACATAGGCATTCTCTCATACCTTTAATATTGAAGAGATGATATCTGTAGGTGCATCTTCTAAAATCAGATTTTGCTGCCTTTCCACTCGAACATCTGCATAGCTGATTGAACATTATAATTTTCCATGGAGAATTATATCCATTCTATCATTTTCAAGCTCCAATACATGTAATTAATTCTTTATTACATGAAATCTGAATGTATTATGCAATTAAAACTTGTATTTTATTTAATTCAAACATGTATAATGGATTACATTTTATATCTACAATAAGTTTATCCATATGTGAAATAAAAAGAAAATATTGGCTGTAATCATAGCATATACCTTCATAGGACTAGGCTTCAGACAAAGAACATGGATATGGAGACCCTTAATGGTTCTTTAGATTCATAAGTACAAGTTTCATAAGTGCATGTAACTAATATGCAAAATTTAATGATGTAAGTTCATATACCTTACTGCTATCACTGGCCATATCTCCATACTATGCTGCTGCAAGTGTATTATATAACCTATCATGTAGCTCTACTTTCCAAACAGGCAGTTTGGAGATTCAACTTTGTTATTTTGTTTGGAATCCAATTAGCATGTTAGTTTGTTCCTATTTTTATTCTCTATTTTGAGCCAGTCCAGGTATTTATTTCATTTATTTTATTCTCTATTTTGAGCCAGTCCAGGTATTATTTCCAGTGTCACACCATGCTCCATGCAATCAACAAGATTATCCTCATCTAGCTATCTTCCCATGACCATGAAAAGACACAGTCTGTTATACTCTTAATCATAACCTCTCTGCATATTCTTAGAACTTAAATACTTAAGAACTTAAGTATTTCATAGATTTAAGAAGTAGTCACTATACCACTTTTAACTCTTTCATTACAACCACCACCACAGAGGGACTAAATATCTTATTAAAGTTATTTACAATTCATTTTAAAGTTATTAAATAACTAAGTTTATTTACAATTCCCCAAAACTCATAAAGTATTGACTGCTATTTTCCATGTCACTTAGAAAGAGACAGCCATTGTTGTATACCGAGTGATCCTTAAGTTAGATCTGCACACTCTTCTTGTACATCGAGATCCCTCCTGACTGGCATAATAGGCATGTTAGTGGATTTTCCATACCTCACTACTGTGTGAGTGCATACAATGAATTCTGGTTTGGAGTTCCACTGGTGGTAGGTGATATAATAATGTGTTTGTAGCCAGATCCATTGTTGTCCTTTGGTCAGAAATCGATAGCAGCAAGACTTCCCTTTACCAAATTGCATCACTATTGGTGGGCAGAAAAAAATACGTCAAAAACTTTTCAAATATGTCAGTTAAAAAAATATTCTAGGAGATTTATAAATTCCCCCACATACTCAAATTTCCCTAAGGGTACAAGAATTCCCTTTCTAAACATGAAATAATGCATAATACATAAGCATTTAACATACATGAGTTCATGTGATTACATGCGATTAATAGCCATGTGCCATGGAAAATATTATATGGATTCATGAAATTGATAGGAACATGATAAGCATACATACTTATCCAGCACATGCCCCTTGCCACTGTTGTGGCAATACTTATAGGATAAAGACCCTATACTAAATTTGCATTATTAATGTGCAAAATTTGCAAGCAATTAGTTCATTTGAAGTCATTAAGGGTAGCTGAGTCTTACTGCTATACTATAATTTTTTGTTATTATTGTACTGTTATTTTTTTTTTATCTGAGACTGTAAGTAATATTTGATATTGTGACAACAGTAAAAAGAAAACTGTTTGCATGTTGAGGTCTGTGATTTAATAAATGAGATGGCATTGTGCCTTGAGTTTCCTTTACAAAAGAGGAGAATGAAACACAAATTTGACCTGTAAAACTGAAAGGTTTTGAACTGAGTTTTGCACAGTGAGATAGCCTAGATCAATTTGTTTAAGTCTGACTTACAGATTTAGGATTAATATTACAAGAAATGGGACATGTTCACTTTTATAAATTTTCAAATTAGCTTTTATTAATTCCACATTTCAATTTTTGCTAATTAGTCATTCGTGAGTGCTATATCTGCACTATTTTATGGCTACCACTTCTGAGGTTTAATAAACCGAACGAAGAATAAAGTGTAGCCAAAGTTAGCTCACATTATGGAAATCACTTGTCTAAAATACTGTAACTACTTTTTAAATAGTACTCCTTAAGCTCTAAATTACATAATTTTATAAACGTTGTGCAAAACTGAATAGATTACAGTTTTACAGTGTTATCAGCTCATCACTTGGTTTTCATTTTTAATACAACACAAAGAAACAGCTGTATCACTGAATTCTGATGTCACAGGAAAGCAATACTCACAGTGTTCATGGCATCGTGCCAAGAGCTGTAGGTCATCAATATGATAGTAATCATAACCGGAAGTACCCAGCACTTCAAAAGGCAAATATCCTATAATTGGTGGGGCTCTGTATTAAGATAAATAATTTTGTTTGAAAATCACCAATAACAAGAACAGCGTTTGACATCGGTAACACCGTCCTTGGTCCAACAGAGAAATTTCCAACATACAGAAGCAGGACTGACACACAAAGGAGAGATGTGGCACTGCTGTATACTACTAGAAGACAGGAGGAATATATAAAAATATCTTGCACAAATTTTACCAAATTATTTCTTAAGTATTGGAATAAGGAAACAAAGCAGAGGAACCAAAAGCAAAAGCAGAGCAAAAGAGTTCATTAATTGGTAACTGAGAGCAATCAAGCTACAAGACAGATCTGAGAGAAAAAAGAACGAATCCCTGGTTGAATTTAAAAAAGAAAAATGTAATGATAAGAAAAAAAAATAAGGTCAATAATTTTAGTCAACACTGTTGCAGTAGGTTGGGGAAAATACTGCCAGAACTTGGCAGCCATGTCATAAAGTCTTTTAAAGGAAGATCTTTTGTAATTAAGAGTGGTGGAGGAATATCAATTACCCTGTCTATATAATTTGATATCACAAATACCAGGACAAGGAGATGTGTGGTAGAGGGTTTCTTGTTTGTTTGTTTGTATTTTTAACAACCAAACATTAAGAGTGTGGGCAACAATATCATGTAGAATTTTTGGAATACCACGTTGTAAAGGACAGACATAACACAATAGAAACAAAATACATATAAATTAATAATGGTTCCATTATTAAGACTATTCAGAATTTGTCTAGCTGAGTCAACACTGAAAGCTGTAACAATCAGAATTAAAGCAGGAGCTGATTTTCTACAAACCGCCTTCCTCTTGCAAACTTTTGCATCATAAAAAGATCTACCCAGATTCACACTGTTTGAGTTAGGCAACCTTATAAATGCTTGAAATAAATAACAGAATAAAATTCTGGAAAATTCTACCCAATTTTAAAAAGCAGTTTTTGAGAAGATAGGCTGCTTATGTGAGTAAGGTTACATGGCAAATATTGGATCACCTATTTCTCCTAAGGTACCCGTAGTACCATTTTCTATGGTTAAAGGACCTCCCAGAATTGCATAACCAAAACTTATCAGTCAATGACTGATTTTTTTGTCTGCTTGGATTATTTTTTTATTTTTAAAAACAAAATTAGGCCAAAAAATTAGGCCATGCAAATCCATCCTGCCAAAACAAGTTGGGGGTGGGGTGGGGGGGAATAACCGAACATTTCAGTCCTCTTCTTTTTTTAAAAAAGCACTTTCTGAATTTAAAGGAATTACCTGCCTCTACTTCATAGCGAGAACACAGTTGGCTAACATATCCACTCTGTACATTGAAGAAACATACAGTATCTGTGGGTTTATTTTAAGAGTCTAACAAAGAAGGAAGCATCTACCCAGATGAATAGAATACCTAACACCTATTTTCTCTAATGCAACCACCCCATATTTGTTACCTTGGAAGTCCAATCCAATGTGATTTCTGTGTTTATTTAAGAAAATATATCCTTATGGATACAGTATTGGATGGTTTTTGATATTTGCTTTGATTCTAATTTTTGCATAAACTTTAGGAATATATATATATATGTTCCTCTTCTGCGTATTGTCTCACTACAATGACCAATGCAATCATATTGATTTATTTTCTTATGTGTTTATGTATGTATGTATGTATGTATGTATGTTGTATGTATGTATTCTACTTTATATCAACAAATACAAGTAGCTCATACTGTATATGTTATGCACCTCCAATACTTACAAAAATTAATTAACGTTGACTTACAAATGTTTGACTTGGTCATGGTTGTAATAATGTATGCCATTACACAATTATTTGGAGAACAAACACAGCATTATTTTGTAAAAATTAATTTATGTCAACAATGATAAGCAGATAGACAGAAAGACAGACAGACAGACAGGAATTGTTTTTACTAACCTATGATCCAGAAATAAAAATTTCCACTCCAAACTGTGTCTTGAAGTGAATTCCTCTAAAGGTTCTTCAACTATGCACATTTCCTATATTAGAATTAAATTCCGTTAAGTGACAGTAGTACCCTTTTCCCCATTCCATCCGCTCCTTAAATGTCAACAGGGAACACATGAAAGAATAAAAACAAAAGACTAAACAACTTATCTATCTATTGAACAATTTTCTATTACTATTATTATTACTCTATTTGGTTTATTAGTTTTAAATGATGCAAAATATATTTTTCTGGAGGTCATTATGATGCTTTATGATTTCTGAAAAAAGATTAAATGTTATGGGTGGTTGTTATATGTTAGATATTGCTGGCAATAAGGATTCAAGTAGATGCAAGGGAGGAAGAAAAGAAGGGGAAATTCCATTGTGAAGCAGAAGGTATTCTATGTTTGCACTTTGTTTACAGCATGCCAGTTATGCTTAATTGAAGCACTTACATTTACCAGAATCCCACACAGACCTAGCAGACACTGCAGAGGATAAATACTGCTGCAACCCCTTTTCTTTTGTGGTATACAACTCAACTCAAGCTGAAATTAAAGGAGTTGACTGAATGCATGGAAAAGTCTTACTATACATTATGACCACAGAAAGATGATTCTCCAATAAGAGTCTATTTTATAAGGCATCTCTATAATTGATAGATCCTGTGCTTTGCCCTAATTAATGTATTGCATTAAAAAACAAAAAAAAACAAAAATTGTTTTCTGCAGGCTTGATCACAGTCACAACTCATTTCTGTTTTTGTCTATGCATGCAAAAAATTTGGACAAAATACTGCACCAAATTAATTGCACTAACAGATGTGAGAGGAAACCAATCTTCAAGAGAAAATCCCAACAATGTTCACAAGATGAGTGGGAATGGTTTCTGCAGATAATAACTTGATTCATTTTTTAACACTTTCCATATTTATACCTATTTCCATTCAGGATCATACATATCAGCCTTCCCCAGTCTGGTGTCCTGTAGATAGGTTGGTACTAAAACTTCCAGAATTCCTAGACAGTATGGCTGTTGGCCACTGGTCATTTGACTGAAAACTGTGGAATCATATTTCCCACCTCTCTAGAGGACATAAGATCAGAGAACTCACAGACTATTATCATCTCAGACTTTTTGAAGGAACAATACTAGAAGCCTTTTTTTTGTAACACTACAGTGTATGCATCATGCATTTGTTTCATTATTTTGTACATGGCTGTTAGCTTGGACCTGGCACGAATGTAGCATTCCTCTGCTATTTGTTAAAGCGGCCTGAAGAAAAGCCTGGGAAGGAAGGCTGAAAAAAGGTATCACTGCTTTAATGAATCCACTCATTAACGTGAACATAACTTTCAAAGTGTTGCCAGGTTTTTCAGGCAGCTTTAATGAACAGTGAGAAGTGCTGAGCTCATTCTCTCATGAGGTCTGAAGTGTTTCTTCCCAATCATTTCCGAGGCATGCACACCCCTCGATATCAGTAAGGTTATAGTGAAAAAAACTACTCTTATTAGTAAGACTCTAAGACAGACACACTTGCCTTTAAAAACTGAGGAGTGGCCAGCCGAACCGTAGCAACAAAACAGATTTGTTTTCCTTGGGGTGTTCTGTAACCCCTTGGAACAGCATCATCAGGGCCATTGCAATCAGACAGAGGCACTGGATAAGAAAATTAGAAGGCAAAGAGTGATGACTTTCTGGCAGATTTGCTTCAGCCTACTGCTTTACACACATGAAATGTACTAATATGGAACATCCCACAGAGTTATATCTGAATGTACTTTTCTGGCTGGATATACAGTATGTACATGTAAATATATATAAAGTAAATCTGTCAGGGAAAAAATGCAATCTAGGACATGCGTGGAAAGGTGGTAAATGCCCCATGTCTTCTAACGTGGACACTGCTGAGCAGAAGTGATATACAGTATATGAAAAAGGATTAAACTGGGACAAGGCAAGAAGAAAGAGTTACACAATTCTATAGGCATTTTTCTACTAGCAGAGCTTATTTCTGACCTTGGAACACAGTTGGGAGAAAGACAGCAAAGACAAATGCCAACAGAATGTTCTTCTACCTGTTGTTTAACTGCTTGAAAATCCCTTTCTGTTATATGGTGGTTTAGCATAGTCCATGTTAAAGACGGTCTTGCTGCAATTATTCCACCACATTCATATTTATGAGTTTAAAATCAATTCTGTGCCTCAACTTAAAAGGTTGTTTCTGAAGGGAAGTCTACCCCTTAGCTGCTTATTTTTCATGCCTTAGAAGAATATGACTATACGTAAGAATAATTACCTTGAAGTAAAGTGCATTGAGGAATTTACTTCTTGGTAGGATTTTGATACCACTTTCATACCACTTATTTACATTAGCCTTTCCCAAACTGACACCTTCTTCCTGGAGGGATCCAGGTAAGGGAAGACCTATTTTGAGTTTCTGATTTTAATGTGTGAAAAATCGGCAGTTTACGCATTATTTAAAATTCACAGTTCGGCATTCGCTGTGATTGACTTCTTGATGCTTGAGTACAGGCTTTAGAGTATCATAAAGAAAAGGTGGGTAGCCAAACCTGCTAAATATATAACACTCTAATTTTTTTTTAAAAAAACTATTTTTAGAACTGATTTACATGAGAATAGTAACATGGGATGGTTTTCCTGTTCTATTCGTATTGGTACTGGCCTAAAACCTTTTCTCTCACTTGCTTTGTTTCTGTGTATGGGATTTCTTTTAAAACCCTGCAGGCTCATGGAGCACAGAGTTTCTGGAGCATTCTAGGCAGCTAAATTAAAATACTGGGATTCTGTCGCATGTTAACTTTTTTAAAACGTATTATTATACGTAAATATATATCTACTTCCAAGTTGAATTCTATACCTTCTTTAGGAAATTGCAACGGCTATATATTATCTATTTAGTCTTAAGAAAATAATATCAGCTGAGATAAACATGCCTCTACAAGATAGGTAGTTGCCATTGCGTTTGTCTTTGTATTCATTTCCACATGGGAAAGATATAAATCAATGATGATGATGATCCCTGAAGGGAGTTTCTAGTTGAGCAGAGTTAATCTGGTCAGTGTTTTATCAGCTCTCTTACAGCAATAGATTTAAGAATCATATGAAACTAAGAAAAGGAGTCATCTTTCTATAAGTTATGGTCTCTTGTTTGTAAGCAGCAAGATCTGTTATACAGAGATGTAGTTTAGCATATACCAGAACTATATGAACCATCTTGGTACAGTTTGTTCTTTAAGGTCCTGAGCAGGATCCATTTGGGCCAGGGGAATGATTTCAGGAAAATTTAATAAGTTTAATATCATCTCCATGCTGCTTGCACAGTACCTTTTTATTACCTTTTTAGAAATACAAATGTATACTATTTGAACAAACAGTACAGAAAAGAAAAGAAAGAGATTTCTGGCTCTGAATTTGAAGACCCATGGACTGGATAGCTCCAGGCAGAGAATCTCCTTGATTTCACTCCTAGCAACTTCTCTACAAACAGTGATTGAATATAAAGTGACTAATTGCAGTGAATCAGTTTTGCACGTTTAAATCTTTCTGGATTCAAATCAAATGTGTCTACTTTGGCTATAGCCCTATTGCCCAGCTAGATGGCAGCACTTAGTTAACCTCAAAGACTAATCTGGGTCACACTTCTTTAGATTTTGGATAAAAAATCACTGGGAAATGCCAGGTCTACAAGCTAATTGAAATGATCCCCAAACTTGACCACACTGAGTGTTTTAATCAATACAAAGGAGTCTAGTGGCAGGGAAGCATTTCTAGAAATCAGGAAATCAGTTTGTTTTTTTCCCCTCTCTTAGGGAAAAAAAGAGAAAATTTAGGAAAGCAGGATAATACAAACATTTTTATTTTCAAATCTAAATTGATTTTACTTCTAAACCATATAATGTATACTTTATTAGAATATGAAACTGTAGCACCAACATATCTATGCAATTTACAAAGGAGTTTCATTTATTTCAATATTCTTCTAGGTTAAAAATACCTAACACCTTCTATGTTAAAAATAATATAATAATGTGCATAAAACACTGCTCAATTTCATAGAGTTTGATCCCAGATAATCATATATAAGATTCCATCCCCAAAAATATAAATGACTGAAGCTTTATATATACAAATTATGAATATTCAATGCTAAAGGAAAAGACAAAACTGCACACTGTTTCCTATGCTATTAAACACATAGATTTTATTTATTTACATATTACAGACAGAACAAAATTTAAAATGGAAATCAAAATGACCTTTTGTGTGGAGTTAAAGACCTGGTTGTTCCCTCAGGCATTTGGGCTGGGGTAACCTTATTGGTTGGTTGGTGTTTCTTACTGATTATAAGATGGAATGATCTATTTGGATCTCTAGCACATGTTGACTGATTGTGGCTGTAATTTCTTTTTTAATTAATTAGTTTTCTGGTTCTAATTTCTTGTCAGCCACCCACTCATAGTAACAAGATGAATAAATAAATTTATTTAAAAAAACAAAAGAAGAGGTAGCATTTGTATAGAAAACTGTCATACGGTTTTGGAAACATATAGTAAATACAGGAATTATGCAGTAATATTGTAGGTTGTGTGGCATAACATGTTTCATACTGTCCATTCTATGAATGAAATCTGATACTAAAAAGTCGTTTACTCATTTTATATTTCCTATGTTGCTTTTTTGATAGTTCTTCAAATTTCCAATTTTTTCCATTGCAATCTTGAAAAAACAAGTCCTCAGAAATAAAACTCAACCCACATTTTAAAGTTTCCTTTACGCACTATTACATCTCTAATTGGAACCAAGATTTACTGTATACTGACAGCATGCCTATACTGAAGGTTACCTTTCGTTATTTTGGGATCTATTGTTATTTTCCTTTTTCTATTCACAGGACATTTATTTTTGATTTAAAGCAATCTCTGTCACTTCATAGAGTCAGGCAACATGTTTTGTGTTATGGAACAACAGCAGATCATTATTTCTTTAATTAATTAGTCCCTGGGAGAGGGAAACGTGCTTGTGAGATTCAGGTGAAAATAAGTTGGTTGAATCAGAATAGCATGCACCGTAACTGGGTAGGGACCAATTTGCTATTCCAAAAAACTACTGGAATGGCCCTATTTTGGTCATTTGTAAACTCCCTGTTCTATCTTGGGGTTTGGGTCTGGGAGCGGTGGTTGGTTGTTTCTTAGGTTATCCATAATCTTCATCATTCTCTAACTTAGCAATGATAAAAGTTCTGTTTCAACATGTAGCACATTATAAGTTTTTTTAGGAATAACTGGAATGTTTCAGGACATATGTGACTTGAAAATGCTTCTGTCTTGCCTTTTAACATATTCTCTAGGAAGGACAAATTTATATACTCCTATGAGTAATGAGTACTGTTAGGAAGCAGTCATATCCAATTTGTGTCATATACAGAGATCCATATTCTTACCGGTGTATACTTGGATCGCAACCCCATCATGATTCTTGTCCAAGATCTATTGAAATGGCCAAGTACAGCTTTTGAATGAATAAGCCACTATCTTACCAATTATTGATAAAGATCACAATTTTTGTGTAATGAATGGACAAAAAAATAAATAGAAATGTCAAAAATAAATAAAGTGGAGGAAAAGCTAGGAGAAGCACCAGATCATCCTACTGGTACCGACTAAGTTGATAATTCTAACATCTTAAAGCTAAAGTTTCCCTCAAGCTGAACTTGACTTCTGATATATATATACACACATACACATGCACACACACACACAGATCTTGTTTTCTTGGCAACAGTACAGAAGTGGTTAGCTTTTGCCTTATTCTGGGATGTTTCTTCAACTTCCCAATCTTGCCTACACCCCTGACATTTCCTAATGATCTCCAGTCCTAGTACTGACTACTTCTATCCAGCCTGGCTATTTGAGAGCAGCTAGGTGCTGCCACCACTATGCCTTTGGAGCAATTTTACTAAATAAATAACGAATGGGAGATTAACATTAATTATCATGAAGGTAATTTAAAAGAAGTATTATTATATTTGCGGTGGTGTTACATTAGGTTCTTCAGTTACTGTATGTTTATTGGGCAATATATCATTGATCTAAACAAAGGAGAAAGGATGTAGCATAAAGAAATATACTTTTCTCGTAAAATGGGAATGGAAGAGAAATATTTCTTATAGGGAGACAGATATGCCAGTAGTTTTAAAATGGTCAATTATGCATTCTAGATCAGAAGACAGAGAATACATGATTTCTAAAAAGAAATAGAATGGAAGAAAGTAAAAACATTGAATAAAAGATAAATACAATAGCTAGACTTTGCTATACATGTTCACTTTTGTTGCAGCTGGAAAATGTGCTTTTATAGAGCCTCTAATTAAACTATTGGAATATGACAGATTCAAGAAATTGAACACGGCAACAAAAGTGCCCTCCAAACAGGATGAATTAATGTGCTGTTCAAAGGAATTGCTCATTTTTCCTGCCTATAAAATATTATGGCTAAAAGAACGTTAGATGTCTGAAGCAGATGCATGTCCTTGAGGAACGACATATGGACAGCGTGCTTGAAAACATTGTTTTATTAAAGAAGATCATGTGGCAAATGGCCTGTTTTGATCTGCAATGTGAGTTCCAGTCACAACCATGTGCATTTTGAATTTACTCCTATCAAGCTCAATATCTTTAGCTTCCTAGGCAAAATGTTGGGAATTTCAGTCCAAACTATGAAATGCTAATTGCATTTTAGAAAATATTCTTTTAAAAAACATAATGTTAATTTTGATCTCTAAAACATTTTTAATCCAAGTGTTGGATGTTAGCAGGGCATCCTTTTTAATACCTTTTTAATATTTTTAAACATTTTAAACGATTTCCTTTTTAATATTATAGTTAATCATGTAAATGTAGTCATTGATTCTACTTATAGAACAGAAAAGTTCTTACCATGATTGTAAGATAGAAAATTCCCTACAAATTTTATGTATTCATATGTTGGAAAATCCTTTGGGTTCAGACTTCCACGCAGAAGATGACAGTAAAATTCCAAATCCTCATTACCTGAGATTTAAATAAAGTACAAGAAGATATTAGTAAAATAATTATTATTTGTTAATTATACAGATTCCTGAGAGTTATATAATTACATGAAAGGAAAACCCCCAATGAATTAAGTGATGCACAAGGCTTGTATTTCAAAGTTTTGATGATCCTTTGCATGAATCTAGGTTGTTCAGATCTATAAATAGATATTTCTCATGAATACTTAAACCAAGGATTGAGATTAACACTTATCCCATTATTCAGTACCGTTCTATGAAATAAATCACACAGACTTAAAGATAGATAATGAAAAGCAGTGGAATGTAAAGGCATTTACTTTTACTTTGCAATGTTTAATTTTCAAAAATAGAAGAGAGAGATGGATTTTAAAATGTACACTTATTATGAAACCCTCGTCTATTTCCTACATCTTTTTCTTATAATAATATGATTCAAAAATCATTTGTACTAAATAAACATATACTTTGAGACTTTATGAACAGCCATATGTAAAGAAATTCAATATGTAATCATAAAACATTTTAGTCATACGAACATGTCTAATTTTTGATTGCAGTAAGAATTTTTCTTAATATTAATAATTAATGTATTATTAATATAGCTGAAAGCCATCCCATTTTAAGATATAATAAATGCAGCTATTATTGTTTTAAATTGTACAGGTGAATAATTTCCTGTAGATATCTTTAATTTGAAAATTAAAAATATGTAAAATATCATTTTAGATAAAATATTTATAATATCCTTTCAGGTAAAATATTGATAAAATATCCTATGTAGGTATTATATAAAGAAGAGAAGCAAATCTTTGAGCCATATAGAATTTTCTTGTCAATAAACAAGGTAAAGTATTTTGTGAATACTCTATCTTTTGGCTATGACTTTTAAATGGCTAATCAAGTACTGCATTTATTGTCCTATTTAGTTTTGCATTCATCACATTATTTTTTATTTATTTATTTTATTTATTTTCAAATTTGTATGCCACCCATCTCCCCCAATGGGTGACTCTGGGCGG